GTGAGGTGCGCACACACCTCAGCCACGGGAGCCTGACGGTGCTGCACGGGGGGCTGCTGGAGCACCTGGCCAGGTGAGGTCCGGCCGGGGGCCTCCGCGGGCCTGTCCGCCTGCACACGTGGGAGGAGGATCCGACCCGGGGGATGGATAGCCACCCTTAGAGGTAGCCTCCCCTAGGCTAGGGCTGCAGGGCCCCAGCGGTGTGGGGGGTCTCGCTGGGAAAGCCAGCAGGGCGGCCAGCTCGAAGTCACCTCCCGTCACTCACCTCCTCGGGTTCTCGCATTGTTATTTGAGGACGGAGACCGGACAGCTAGAAGATGTGACTATTTCCCTGCCAGCCTTGCCAGATGTCAGCTGGCATTACTTACCTAGCGCCTGGCAAATATCTGAGCAATAGTCTATAATATATCATTGAGATTATCCATATTCTCTATTCCCAGCCCAGAGCATAAGAAAGCAACAAACCGATTCTGGTGGGAGAACAAGGCTGAGTTTCAGATGAAAGAGAAGTTTCTCATCTCCCCTCAAGAGTATGCACAGTAAGTCGCTGCTTATGAAGGATGAAGTGGCAGAATGTGAATTCTCTGGGTCTGTGTCAAGTACTAGAGCTTCCTCTTAGTTGGAAAGTTTAGTAAAGAATGTATAAGTGTCCGTTGTCTTCAAAGGACTCATTACTCTAGGTACTATATTGGACACAAAAGAAATAAGACACGTCTTTGAGAGGTTTATAATCTAGTTGGGGATGGGATTTAGCAAATAGAGAATAGGTAGTAAAGGTTGACTCTAATCAATTACTTAAGTGTGGCACAATGAATACAAGTGCCCACCCAGTACCCACTCTTAATAGTTTTAGACCCTCTCGGCCTCTGGAGGACCCTTAGAAACGGAGGTGCGGGAAACTGGTCAGCCCAGAGGGAGTGTGAGTGCTGGCTGCCTCCAGGAAAGGTCACAGGCAGCCGCACGACACCACTTGTATTGGGACCATATTGAGATTATGAATGTGGAGCCCTTACAGAAAAACTCATGATATCTCTTGGTATCTATTATTCCTTTCTACTCAGTGTGAAGGATAATGAGGGAATGATCAGAAATGCTTAAATCCACCTTAGCTGGTTTGGCTCCGTGGATAGAGCGTCCGCCTGAAGGGTCCTGGGTTCAATTCCAGTCAAGGGCACATGCCCAGGTTTTGGGCAGGATCCCCAGTAGGGGACGTGCAGGAGACAGCCAATCAATGATTCTCTCTCATCATTGATGTTTCTCTCTCCCTCTCCCTTCTCTGAAATCAATTAAAAAATATATTAAATAAATAAATAAATAAAATAAAGACCCAACACTTAAACAAAAAGAAAGAAATGCTTAAATCCCACTACCTGCTTTCACACCTGTGGCTCAGACTAGGAGATGGGAATCTGAGGCCAAAAAGCACTCACGTCTCATTACCCAGCCACATAGGGTTTTTGAAGGACAGTTAAGCAGAAAAGTTTATGATTGAGAATTATGAGGACAGACTCTTGGAATTTATTTAAATACTAGAGGCCTGGTGCACAGGATTCATGCACTGGTGAGGGGCGTGGCCTGCAGGGATCGGAGGCTGTGGGAGCACACTGACCTCCAGGGGGCAGCCCCTGCATTAATTGTCTGCCCCCTGGTGGTCAGTGCATCATAGCAACTGGTCGACTGGTTGTTCTGGTCGTTCTGCCATTCAGTAGCTGGGCTTTTATTATATAGGAGGATAGTTTTGACTTTTAACTGTATAAATTTTGTTGTTAATCCTCACTTGATATTTTTTGCATTGCTTTTCAAAGAGAGTGGGAGGGAGGGAGAGAGAGAAACATGGATGGCACATCAACTGTTGCCTCCCACACGTGCTCCACCAGAGGGCAGGGAGTGAACCCCCAACCCAGGCACATGCCCTCGACTGGGAATACAACCTGCAACTCCAGTGCATGGGCTGATGCTCCAACACTGTACCACACCAGCCAGGGCTAATCTTATACATTTTAAGACCACACATAAGACCAGACAAGGCCGAGCCTGACTGACCAGTAATGATAAAATGAGCCGCTTTTAGGTTTAGACAGTTTATTACTTACATAGAGAGCAAAGGGAGTAAGCCCAAAGTGCCAGCCTCCCAGGTCCTTGTCCAGCTTGCCAGAAAGGACCACACTGAAACAGAAAGGGCTGGGGGACCTCAGCATGAATGTGGGGAGTGGCTGGGAGCCAGGTGTCGGCTGAAGGTGCAGCTGCATGGCTCTCAGGTTGCAGCTCTGCTCTGAGAGGGCAGGGCAGAAAGCCTGGACCTCATCAGAACCTCATCGGAACCTGGGGGTTGGTGAGAAACTGTCTCATGGCAGCCTCCCAGGGAAGAGAGGGTGGAGATGGCCTCAGTGCCTTCCAGGCCTCCTGAACTCTTGTGTTCTGGGATCACACAGGCATTCAGTCAAGGCTGACAAACGGCAGTTTAAGGCTTTGCCTGTGCGACTACATGCAGGGCTGCTAGGGCACCGTGGGAGAGCTTTCCCCCACAAATTAAAATTTCATTTAGAGCCCTGGCCTGTTTTCTCAGTGGTTAGAGCGTTGGCCCGCACACCAAAGAGTCACGGGTTCGATTTTTGGTCAAGGGCATGTACCTTGGTTGCATGTTCCTGAGCCCCAGTGGGGGTATGTTGTGGGGGGCAGTCTGTTGATGTGTCTCTCTCACGTTGATGTTTTTGTCTCCCTCCTCCCTCCCTCCCACTCTCTAGAAATCAATGGAAAAAATATACTTGGGTGAGGATTTAAATTTTTTTTTTTCAGTTAGAAAACAGATCCTAAAATTGATTGCAAAGACAAATTTCCCTAATTATAAATCAAATTGATAACAATCACAAAAGAATAAGAATTCAAGTAACTTTTAAAAAAATACATATTTTTATTGATTTCAGAGAGAAAGGGAGAGGGAGAGATAGAAACATTAATGATGAGAATCATTGGTTGGCTCCTCCTGCACACCCCCTACTGAGGATTGAGCCCACAACCTGGGCATATGCCCTTGCTCGGAATCAAACCTGGGACCCTTCAGTCCACAGGCGGGACTATCCACTGAAACAAACCGGCTAGGGCTCAAGTAACTTTTGTACACAACATTCTGACTGTACATCTTAGAAGGATATTTTCTAAGGACTAAAGAACTGAAAAGAAATCTTGAGCTGTGCTTAGTTTTACTGTTAATAGTAATATTGGTGTTCTGATACTTTTGTGTGTGTGTTGTAGGATAAAGTAACTTTAAATACAGTTTACCCTTGAACATGGGTTTGGACTGCATGGGTCCACTTATACACGTTTTCAGTGGACCAGCGCAGATCAAACCCATGCTGTTCAAGAGCCAACTCCCCAGTTGCGAGTGCGTATGCTGAGGGCCAACTGTAGTCATACCTGGATTTCAACTGTGCAGGAGTTGGTGCCCTAACCCCCATGTTGTTCAATAGTAAACTGTCTATTGATGTTGTTGGGAGCTGGGGATTTCAGTATGGCAGAAGAAAGAGACCAGTAGGATGGAGGGATTTGGTTGGGAGGTATCAGTATGAATTTTCATTTAAGGAAATCGGAGCTCTGTCCTCTGAAAGAGCTGTAGGTGACACCTGTGGAGCAGTAAGAACTTGACTAACACTCAGCTCTTTGTTTGTAAATATGACTTTCCACTGCAAGAAACCAGATCTCATTGGAGAACAGTTGATTTCAGGCTGGAGCAGGGAAAGTACATGGTGAGCCATGGAGTGGTCCAGAGGACAAGAGCTGGTTTGAAGAGGGTCTCAATAGCCACATATGGGATAATTTGAATATCAAAGAGTAATTGATTTTCATAAATGTGGTAATGGTTTCATGGTTCCATAGATGCCCTCAGGAGATGAATGCTGAAGTATTTAGAGTTGTCTCATGATGTCTAAAATCCATTTTTGCTTTGGCAAAAAAGAAATGTGTATATAAAAGAGAAGTGGAGCCAGCATGAAAAAATGTTAACAGTGAGTCTGGATGAGAAGTGCACAGGTGTTCATTGTACTATTTTCTTTCTGTGAGTTTGAAATTACTAAAAATTTAAAGAAAACATTATCTACTGAGGATCTTTTCACAATTGGCAGGGCCTGAGGTTCTGGGCTGACTTGCCCTTTTTCTTTTTAGATTCAAGAAATCCATGGTAAAAGGTTTGGATTCCTATGAGGAAAAAGAGGACGAGGTGATCAAAGAGGTAAGTTAAAGGGACCCAGCCCCATGATCTTGTACCCATCTAAGCAACCTCTCTCCCACAGATGGCAGCTCATATTCGAGAGGTGGAGCACAGCCGGCAGGAGGTGGTTCGGTCCATCTTAGAGGTTGGTTTCCCTTGGAGAAGCCAGAGCAGTATCCAAATCCACTAATTCCTGGTTCTCCCAGGTCCAGCATTTCACCTATCAGCTCTAAAACTCATGGACTCCATGCTTCACCTGCTCTGGTTGAATTCCCTTACCTGTCCGCTAGGGGTCAGGCCTTATCAGTGGAGAAGATGTGGGGAGGCCTGGGAGACGGAGGGGGAGGGGGAGTTTGCAAGATGGGCAGTACCCTCCATATGCCAATTTGTTTCCTGCTGGAGGGTGGGAGCATGGCCTAGGTAGACTCTTAAGCATCCTAGACACATTTATTTTTCCTGAATCAAACTCAGTCTCAGGCAGTGCCAGACCCAGAAGAGGGCTCTTCGGCACCTGGAAGCTGGAAAGGGACAACCAGGTAAGATTGGAGGGGAATCTTGTTGAGAGTTTTGTCCTGTTAGACTCTATAACTTTTATATATATATATATATATGTACGAGTAGCCCAGTGCACGAAATTCGTGTGGGGGGTGGGGGGTGGGAAGATCCCTCAGCCCAACCTGCACCCTCTGTCATGTTCCGGGACCCCGGCCACTCAGGGCCTAGGCGCAGGCCTACAGGCTTGAGGCGGCCTGGCTCCTGAGGCCCCATTTTTATCAAGAGAACAAAGTTGGCATTAGTTACAGCCCTCACCAAACCCAGTACAGTGCGTCTGTGCGTACAACTGCCTTGTTCATGTGCTTGCTTCGCCCTACTGAATTACTAACATCTTGAGCACATAGCTCTGTCTTATCCTGCTTCACCTTCAGTGCCTGGCCTGGTGCCAGGGACTTGGGAGTGTTTGCTGAGTGAGTGAATAAATGAGTAAGTGAATGAGTGAGTAAGTGAATGAGCAAGCGGCTACGGGGTGGGAACTTCTGCCATGGCGACGCAGCAGTTCCCGCCCTGCTCCCTGTGACCCAGGCCCCCAGCCACTCCTTCAGCAGAGGCCAGGGCAGGCGGGAAGCTTGGCTTCCTCCATAGGTCGCCTGGGGCAACCCAAGCCTCCAGCTGCCTCCATCGTTGGGCTAATTTGCATATCGCTCCGATTGGCTGGTGGGCATGGCTTGAGCGTAGTGAAGGGACGACTGATTTGCATGTTTCTCTTTTATTATATAGGATTATTGATTTCAGAGAGGGAGAGGGAGAAAGAGGTAGAAACATCAATGAGAGAATCAGTGATGATTGGCTGCCTCCTGCACGATCCCTTCTGCGGATCAAGCCCGCAACCTGGGCATGTGCCTTTGATTGGAATCAAACCTGGGACCCTTCAGTCCACAAGCTGATGGTCTATCGAGCCAAACCAGCTAGGGCACCATTCTGTAACTTTTGGCTGGGATATGGGAACAAATCGCATCTTTGCTGTCCTCATGATCAAGGACCTCATTTGCCAGCCTGGCTCCTGTTTTGTCTTTTTCAGTCAAATAACCTCCACCTCACAGTGGCCCTCATACTTGGACCTGCCACCTGCCCCAGAACTTGACTGGATGGAGACAGGACAACCTCTGACATTCATTGGTCATCAGGTACAATGGACAAGCAAGCCAGGAAAGCACAGATGCCCCTCAGCTCCCAAGACACCCATCTCTCCCAGGTTTCCTACCCAGTCTGCGCTGCAGGGTTTTCTTGCCGCATTGTTTTCTAGTAGTGTTTCTCACCCTCCATCCACACCTGTTGTCCCCACCACCACTTAGGAGTACCAACACCCAACTTATATCATCTGGAGAAGCCACTGGTCCAGTTTATTACCTTCCCAGGTGTCCCACAGGCATCTGTAATTAACCCCCTCCTGCATTTCCAATAGGCTTAGATGCAGATCCTCTCCCCTCCATCTTCCAATCCTATCAAGTATGTCCATTTGACCTCAGTACATTGTTGGTCTCTTGAAATAGTTCCTAGCCCTCCCCCCTGCATTCCTGTTTCCGACACACAAAATCATCGCATCACCTGCTGTCTTGTCTTTTCTAATTTCAGAGAGGAAGGGAGAGGGACAGAGATAGAAACATCAATGATGAGAGAGAATCATGGATCGGCTGCCTCCTGCACACCCCATACTGGGGATGGAGCCCACAACCCAAGCATGTGTCCTGACTGGGAATCAAACGAGTGACCTGGTCAATGCTCAGCCTCTGAGCCACACCAGCCAGGTCTTTACTCCAGCTGTATTATGCTCTTCCCTTTGTGTGCATGCAGTTGCTGTTGCCTTAAACATGCTTTCTTTTCCTCATCACCTAGTTACCTCCAGGTTTTAGCTCAAATGTCACACTTCCTGGAAGGCTTATCTGAAGTCATCTCGTATAAATGGACGTAGTACCATGTAAAAGTCTGTGAATGTAACTTGTGCTTATTCTCTTTCCCAACATGTATGTTGAGAAAAGGGTTTTGTTTACCTGGCATATAGCAGGCACATCTTCTCTACCTCCTACAAAGTTTGCCCTTTCTCTAGCTGTGAGTATCCTATTATCTCTTGGCTTTCTATATCTAGGGTGTTTTTTTTTCCACTTCCAACTACAGGACACACCAGGACTTGGTAACATCCACTCAGGTAAGTGTTTCTCAAACTGTAAGAGGTAATTTTTTTAAAAAACAAAATTGAGTGGCTTCTTGGCCTTCTGGCTAAGATCAAGTGTAATAACTGTGTTTTTCTTGAGAAACATCGATTTGTTGTTCCTTATGCATTCATTTGTTGATTCTTATATGTGCCCCAACTGGGATGGAATCCGCAACCTAACCAACTGAGCTACCCTGCCAGGGCATAGTATCTATTGTCGACCAGTTTAATACAGATACATCCTTTATCTGACCTTTATCTGAGGACAATATATCAGATGGACTTTTGGAGCAGGGAGATGGAATAGGAACTTGCTCCATCCACTCCATGCATCAGCCTGGTATTGCACCAGGAACGGTCCACCAGGAGAAATAAAGTTAAGATAAAGCACTAACTGCAATCTAGCTCTCCATCAATAGGTAAAGGGAGAAAGATGTGATGTGTGTATCAGCAATAAAAACGAAAGCTTGCCATTTGGACCTAGAGAATATTATGCTGAGTGAAATAAGTCAGAAAATGACAACTACCATACAATCTCATTTATATGTGGAATCTGAAAAAAACAAGACAGAAACAGACCCACATAGAGAACAAGCTGATGATTTCCAAAGGGTATGGGGGTCAGGATGGGAATGAAAAGAAAAAGAAAACCATCTGATGAAGGGCTTGGGTCCTGAATATATCAAGAACTCAAAACTCAGTAAAGGCATATAAAAAGATGTTGTTCAGAATGGCTACATGAAAGACTGGGCATGTACTGGAAGAACTTACTCATTGCTGGTGCAATGTAAAATGGCACAACCACTTTGGAAAACAGTCAAGCAATTCCTTAAAGTTAAACATGTTATGATCCAGCCATTCCAAGAGTAAAGAAAGGCTTATACACAAATGGTCATAGTAGCCCCAAATTGAAAACAATATGCCTCAACAAATGGAAAGTGGAGTAGTCCTCAACAACAAAAGAAGTGTTGGTACATGCAGCACAGGTCATTCTCAAAGTAACTAACAGGTCTTTTCCAGGTGCCACACCGCCCTGGATGGCCCAAGATGAGGAACACAGCTCTGGGAACCAACAAATAGGACCTTCCTATGAAGAATTTCTTAAAGAAAGTGAGCAAACTAACTCAAGAATGGCAGTGGGGGCTCTTTAAATCTTCCTACTCAAATAAAATCATTTACTTATCATTATAGAGGAAAAACAGAAATTGAAGAAACTCCCTCCAGACAGAGTTGGGGCCAACTTTGACCACAGCTCCAGCACCAGTGCAGGCTGGCTGCCCTCTTTTGGCAGGGTCTGGAACAATGGACGTCGCTGGCAATCCAGGTTTGGGTCCAGGGTCAGGACCCCAACCCACCACCACCACCACCCCTTTGGAAATGTCATCCTTTTGCCCTGTTAACCCTTCATTTCCTTTCAGGCATCAATTCAAAACTGAAGCTGCAACAAGGAACAAACAGCAGTCAAAGAAAATGGTTTCATAAGGCTTAGAAGCCATGTCAGCAAATCCAGCCCCGCCTGCTACCTTTTGTGACTGCCTCGCTTAGGAAAAAGACATACCCACTTACTGATTTAATAAAGGTTTATTTTTCAAAATGTACAGCTGGTGAGATCTGTAAAAAAAAAAAAAATTAAATTAAAAAGCATTAGTCTACGGCCTTATAAAGAGGACACATACTTCCTGCACCGTGAGCCCCTGGATTCTTGCTCACCTGTTGTTCATGCATCTTCTCCAGCAGCCGGGGCGTCCCCACCTTTGGTGTTTCTGGTGTAAATCACTTGAGCTCTGTGCTTTGAGACTAGTTTAATAAGTCCTAAGGAGAAAGAACAAGGCTTTCATATAGCAATGCTGTTATACCCCTTCCTAAAACAGAATTGCTGAATTTGAGCATGAATTTAGTAACAGACATGCCTACATTCTGGGTGATAACCTAATTAGGGACCCACCATCTGCTCAAGATGGCCACCCTCACAGCACTTCTTCCATATCAGGCACTACACATAGTGCCACCAAACTGCCTCGAGGGCCAGAGCACAAAAATGACATGTCAGAATCATATTAATAACCACCACTGGTTAGCCTAAGCCTTTTTTTTTTTTAATTCCAGTTAAAAGATTTAAGGTGGCTAACATGGTCATGACAATTTACTGTGCAGCCCAGCCGCTGTGGTTGAACATCGACCTATAAACCAGGAGGTCACCTGCCTGGGTTGTGGGCTCCATCCCTAGTGTGGGGTGTGCAGGAGGCAGCCCATCAATGATTCTCATCATTGACGTTTCTATCTCTCCTCTCTCAAATCAATAAAAATATATTTTAAAAATAATGTGCAAAACCACTTCAGTGCAATATTCCCCTCTCACCTTTACTAAGGAGTTCCTGAAGGGCTGCCCTGGCCAAGGAGCCGCGAATCTTCAGCCTCTCGGAGACCACAGCTGGGGTTATGAGCTTGTAGTTGGGAACCTCCTTACAGAGCTTGTCGTATGTGGCTTTGTCAAACAAGACCAGGTTATTGAGCTTGTCCCGAACTTTGCCTTTGGACCACTTCTGCTCACAAAAACAAAAAGGAAGGAAGGGTAAGTGCTCCTGATAGAATCCCCCTGGCTCTCCCAGACAACCCCTGTATTGGCAGGGCTGAGAGGGTAACGGGACTGAGGTTCCTGGGCCTGGAAATTCAGAATATGCAGAAACTCTACAAAGTAATATTCAAATAATTAGCCAGGATATAAGGTAAAAGAGACCCTGGTAACCTTTAATGGCATCACATAAATTAGACTTTGGGGTATAGGTTAAGTCCCACTGGACTCTTCAGAATGTTACACGCGAGGCACCAGAACAAATGTCTTTAAGCACATTTGTTGAATTTCCAAGTAGCATGCACCACACCCCGTTCTTCAAATGAGGAGGAAAAGCGAGGATGGCGGCAGGCGCCTCAGCTCTAGCAGTCTGACTCTACACCCCACAATGCTAAACGCCATCTGCTACGGCCATCTGGGACGGGCGCCCGTTTCCCTTACTCTTAAGAGGGGCTCACTCCTACCTTCTTTTTGGCCTTGCCCCCCGACTTGTTCACGGGGTCCTTGTCTTTCTTGGCCGACTTTCCAGCATCTTTCTTCTTCTTGTCGTCCTTGGGCGGCTGTTGAAGAAAAATGGGGATACTGCCGGCTACTAGCGCGGCCCAGACCCCCACTACCGCACCCGATCCGGCCCGGCCCGGT